TAGATGAGGAAAACGGAGCACCACTTCCTCTTCTGTGTAGCTGTCGTCAGATTTAGCATCAGTTCCAGTTAGAAATATTCCGACCTTTCTGAATCCCGACAGGATGGTTTTGGTTGTTGTGAAAGAATTTATGTGTTATTTTAAATATTATGAATCTTTTAAAATCATAATCATTTGTGTGTGTGATTAAAGTTATCAACAATTGCGTTTTTGGTTTTTTTTCCATATGTATATCATATGTCCTAGTTCAAGAACTCCTGACTCATTAAGCTAATCTACTGAGTCACCCATGAGAAGACAGCTAAGGGTTTTTTCCCTCATGTGGTTAGCATAAGTTTTTGGGAGAAAACTGACCAAATTGTTTATCACCTGGAGCCTGTAATCAAGTGTGAAATGGGGGGTGGTTTAGCCTAAAGATTGTTAGCATGTGATCATTGTAAATGACTGCAATAAAACCTGCTGTTGGGGAGTAGCTGTCAGAAGAGGGTCAGACAGTGTTCGGACAGCTCTCTCCTTGCGCAAGTAAAAACTAAGCCGTCTCGTTTTGGTGTGTCTTTATTTAATGTAATTTGATGTCTTAGGGTAGAATTCCCTGACAGTTGTCACTGTCCGTACTTTGTCAATTCATCCAATGACTTGCAGGAAAGTTGCACTGCGGACCCTCCCGATTACCATGAAGCTGTGTTCTCCATCCCCGCTTTTCACCAGTCCCTTACAAGTTTCTCGCTCACTCCAAACTTTCTTTTTGCTGCTCGATAATATTTCACTACTTGCAGCAGGACAGTGGCTTTTTCTGCAGGAGGCATGTGCAGTAGAGCGAAGTGACTGTGGTACAGTAGTAGCAAATACTGACACACAAGCCTAGAGCGCCCCTCTCGAGACTGTCAGTGTGAAAATTTTAGTATACAAGTCGCACCGGAGTATAAGTCGCAGGACCATCCAAACCATGAAAAAAGTGTGATTTATAGTCTGAAAAATACAGTAGTGTAGTCCTGCTTGTATCCCTCATGACAGATGGGTTTAATCTATATTGTGGAACATTCTAACGATAAGATTTTAGGTGGCAGACCCTCCACCTTTATCTTGACAAGTAAAATTATCTACCAGTTAATTCAAACATATGATTTAGTTTCTTATTTTAAGTACAAAGAGTTATTTTTTTCTTATCTTCAGGGTAAATAGGAGTATTTCAACTACAAAAAGACTTGTTTTATTGGTAGATAATTTTACTTCATGTGAAACTTACTCAAATCAATTCAGGTCTTAATGTTCTTAATTCAGGTTATATTAACTTGATTTTTGTTTTTCTTCTGCAACAAAATGTAATTAAATTGTCTTTACAATACAATATTTAATCACAGTAGATTCTTCTTAAAATCTCTGAGCTTCCTCGTGGCCAAATTAGCCAAGGCAAGTTTATTTGTATAGCACAATTCGTACACAAAATAATTCAAAGTGTTTTACAGAACAAGAAAAACATTAAAATCACAATAAAAACTAATCAAAACATAAATAATCATCATATAATTAAAGATTAAAATTAAAAAAGAGAAAGAGACATTAATTACATAAATTAGAGAGAAGAGTGTGGAATGAAAACCTTTCAGTCTCTCTGGACGGCCGAGTTTGACCCGCAGGCCCCACTTTGGGCACCTCTGATTTAGATACTAATTCAAATGTAAATAATAATAATGTAAAGATGATTTAGCTTTAAACCAAACTTAAGCAGAACCACTACTGCTAGAAGTAACCTAATCATTCTGAACACATTCCCTTCCATCCGCTGCACAAATACCCACTTAGCTCGTAGCCTGTACCGTCATAAATAGCCTGATTAGCCGTTAGCCGCTAGCTCACCGCGCGAACCCTGTCGTTAGCAGAGTGCTCCATAGGTGACCGCAGCGGGGTAGTGATGTGAGCTGTCGGATTTAATGGCCGGTTGACTTTAATGATAATCTCCGGTCCTCTCCTCCCCCCTATGTCCAACCCTCAAGAGCCGCCCGGCAGATGACAGGAAACAAACACAAGTCTCATTAATTAGCACCATTAGCATACGGCCATTATGAGGCTAGACAGTGGCATGACAGGGCTCTGAGGAAGGCTACAGCGTGACCTTTGGCGGACAACACCGGCTGTCAGTAATTACCCGGCGCCGGGCCCAGGGGACACGCACAAAAGACTCACTGCCTGTCCTTGAAGACCTATAGAACCTGAGCAGGGCGCCCATTACTGTAGAAGAGCCGGGCTTCTCAAAGCGAGAAGTGAGGACTGAATCTGGTCTGGTGGTAGTCAGCGGTCAGGATGCTTTATTCAAAGAAGAAATTAAGAAAACGTTGGTGGTTTAGAGCAGTTTTAGTCCTGGTCTATTAGGGCTGCTCAATTATGGAAAAAATCATTATCCCACTTATTTTGGTCAATACTGAAATCAGAATTATTCAAACAATCTTTTTTTTTACTTACACGATGCATTCATTCAGATTCTCTCTCAAAAAACACTTTGCTATTGATAATTTATGCAAAACGTTCAAATAAATATAGGTTACCAATATATACCTTAGAGCAGTTTTGCAATGTATAAAACATAAAATGAATAAAATATACTTTGAACATGAAATAAGTAATAGAAAAACATAAATGTATCCAAAATAAACTATATAGCCAGCTCTCTACATTTTAAAAAATGAAATAAATATACTTATTTATATAAAAAAAATGTTATACAATTTTGTTAAGCTTTCATTTCAACTCGATTATATGAGTTTGTAGATTGTTTCACACAAAAATCGAAATCGCAATCAAAATTCAATTAATTGCACAGCCTTATGGTCTACAGTGCCCTAACCCTGATGGCAAAACCAGTCACAGGGCAATATTATAGTTTGGGCTAAAGCCAGAAATGAAGAGCCCAAAAAAAACAAATATGGCACCTCCAATGGGCAAACTTAAAGCTATTTTGATGAAATACAGATGATTTTGTTGTGGAAAAAAAATGTGGCATATGTAGATGAGAAAGATGTATGTTTTTTTCTCTCAGTTGGATGTAAAAACAAATTTAAAAGCCATTCCAGGTTAATAAATGTGTACAACTCATTTCAGGGTTGTTTCTACGCATCAAAAAATTACAAAGTACAAAAGTAAAAGTACTGTACACTTTTTGGTATGTGCACTTTGCGTAAGTAAATTGTATAGTGGATACTGTTTTATTTTACTACATTTGAGAGCAGTGTTTGAGACCTGCTAAAATAGCTCAGGTTTATTTGAATCTGAGTTAAGATTAGAACACTATTTTGGAATTAAACTTAAAACAAAAAGTGACTTCCTCACAAGTCTAGTGTATGGGGGTTGCCATTTTGACTAAATAAAACCTTTTTTTAGACCTACACCACTTTTATGCTATTACTTGAAAAAATGCCTTTGTTGTGCTAAAAGTTCCAAGGTAGTGAACGTATACCTCTCTCCCTTTGTGCGTATTTATGGATCGAGTTCACCTGCCGACGGCGCATATGGAGATGCCTTTAGCCTAAAAAGGATCTTTAAAAAGCATCTTAAAATGTTCTGAGCTCCAGGCTGAGATTTAACTAAAGCGTGCGCTAAAATAGGAACTGCTGCTGTGTAGTCTGTGCCAGGGGCTTGTGTTATCAAACACTTGACAAATAATATGATAAATGAGGATGGGGATAATGATTTGAAGCAGACGTGGCTGTGTTTTGGGCCAAAGAGCTCGTAATTGTTCATGGGAATTTGGGAGCTTTTATCATAGTCTAAAAGCACCAGAAAAGACTACATGTTGTGTCTCATCTAAGTGCACATGGTGTACACAAGTGACTAGAGTGTGCCTGTGCCTCCCTGTGTCTTAAGTGAAAAGCTTTTGAACCACCCTCACTCACTGTTTTCAGGGAACACAGAATGAAAGCGTTTGTAGACTACATCCAAAATATTGAGGCTCAGAGATTAAGAAGGATTAGGAATTATCCTTTAATTGTAATGTACTGGATTGGTTATATATTTCAGGGTATATATCAGTTTAGTAGGCAATTAATGTAATGTAATGAGATCATTTACAAAAAGATAGACTTATTATTATTTTATTTTTACTAGTTTACTGTGATACTGATATTTATTTTAGTATTTATTTTTATACTACTGATATTTATAGTATTTATTTTTCATACCTTTTTTTTGGTAGCTATTTGTTCTTATGGTTGCTGAATGTCAAAGTGATTGTGATTCTGATCTGGTGATGTTTAAATACTGTATGTCTTTATACAATGCTGGTTCATTGTTACTGAAAGTTGCTGATCCTGAGTTTTTTGTATCTTAAATGTGATAAACAGAACAATTTCCTTTCGAACAGATGGCAGTGGTCCAGTTATTCCTCACTTACGTTATGGATTCAGAGAGTCCTAATTATTCACAGCAGTGAGTTTATAAGCGTGGAGACCAGAGTGGAGTTTTCCGTCAAAGCAAAAACTAGCAACAACTAGCATGCGAACATGTATTTCCTTATTATTTGACAATAAAATGATTTATAATTAGATGCATACAATACACAGCTGACTTATTTTGACCTCAAGAGCTGCTTATACAACATGTCTGGACTGGGGCAAGACACATTTTACTCAAATACATGAGAAAAAAAATCAAGTCCAGGGTCTTGAAAGAGTTCAGTTGTGCAACCTATTTGGATACGTTTTGTGATATTTTAAAAAATGTGTTTATTTTTCGATGTGTCTTTGAGTCTGTATCGGTCTTAGTAAATCATTAAAAACAGTATCTTTTCTATTCAAAATATTTGTATTTTCCTGGAGTATTGGTGTCATGGAAAGAGATACTGCTATACTATGATATTTTACGTGAAAATTTAACACAACACAATTATTTTTGATTTTGAAACTTTTTTCTGCTGTTTGGCTGAATGTCTGTAATGAAAATAATTTTGTATTTTTATTTATTTTGTATAATTTTTCCTTTTAACCTTCATGTATTTCTGTTTTGTTCAGGCACATCTATAATGAAAGTGACGGCCATAGACGCAGATGACCCGACGTATGGTAGCAGTGCCAGAGTGGTCTACAGCGTCCTGGACGGAGAGAGGTTTTTCTCTGTGGAGAAACACACAGGTAAAGATCACCATAGCACACACATTTTCATCCCTTCTCTACAGATTTAGCTCTCTGACTTTTGTCTCTGCTATAACCGCTTTTATTCTTTGAGACCCAAATTCCCAGTCCAATCAAACACTGTGGCCAGAAACAAGAAATGATTTGGCCAGAGGCTGGTAGCTTTGCAAAAGTTTCAGTCACTGTGAGCACTCCAAGTGCACATATGGTGTATTGGCTTGGCTCAGGGAGTTGACACAAGCACAAAAATGCATGCGTGTAACTGTCTCTAATTTAATTACTTCAAATTTATTGATTTGTTTTTTTAAGTAAACAGCCACTTTGACTACCGATGTAAAAGTTGCATTATTAGAAAAAAAAGTTTGACTATTAATATAGAATTGGTAAGGTAAAAACTGAATTAAGGGCTCGTTTACATGAGAACGCTTGTGGGTAAAAACAAAGTATTTTATCGGAAATGCCTCTTGTTTAGACGGTCACAGCGTTTTTGGGGCTTAAAAACGCAAAAATCTGAAACCACCCTCCTGAGTGGAAAAGTTGAAAACCCTCCGCCGTAGCGTTTCTGTCCACACTGCCTAAGACGCAAAACTCTGGTCACGTCGCATGCACGTTTGCGTCACATACATCGCCACCTAGTGTCACCGCCTAGCCGCCTGGCATGCATACCCAATCGAATTCCACACACTTTTGCTTCACCGTATGCACGCAGTTTTCCTCCCGAAAACAGTTGTCTAAACGTGGAATAAAAAGTGAAAATGCGACGCCACTTTTACGTCTTCTGTTCAGACCGTCATCATATAAACGTAGCCTAATACTAAGTTTATTATGTCGGCATGACACATATCAAATAGTTGACGCTATGAGGTACAATTAGCTTTGTTGTAAACTCAATTTGGCTGCAGAATGAGTCCAGTGATGCGTAATGAACTTAAAAACAACATAAGAGAAGTTCGAGGTCTTACCTTTGTCGCCACAATCCAGGAAAAATGCAAGTGGAGCATTTTTGAGTTGCTTAGAGAAGATGACTTTGCATTTGCGGAATAATGAAACAAGTAAAAAGGTTTGTTTAATATGTGTTCTTTAAGTTATAAATTATTTTTATTGCTTTGTAGTAGGGTAGGTTCAACTTTGAAAACTATAATTCATATTACCAATGTGGCTTTTTGAACTCTTGAGTCGCTTACTGGCAAAAACTGTAAACCTAGGCTGTGTCTGAATGTTCACCCCCTAGCCCTTAAACCCTCGTTCACTACATAGGCCCGAATACATTTAGGTGACTCATTCATTAAGCGATTCATACACTCAGACCTCTACTGGCGTCTGGTTGAAAAAAAATCCCGCTAAACCCTGTTAAAACTTGATTTCTGTCATAAATAATAATCAGATCAGACTGGCACATCGGTATTAATGACCCAATGAAAACCATACACATTTTTGTCAAGATGATGATAAAAGTGAAGAGTGATAATCCAGCCTTTCTATCTGCTTAATTCAGTTGTGTCGTGTCCAGTGAAAGATCTGTCACTGGATGCTGTTGTTTTTCTGACTCTCGCAGTGCATTGTGGTCCATATTATCCGCTCTAGTAAACACCGAGGCCCACTACTTTTCAAGGTGCACTGTGTGAAATTTTGAGTGCGCCACATTTTCGGACACCACAAACAATGGCGTGACCCGTGTTTAGTAAGGAATAGTGTGGACATTCAGACACAGCCCTACTCACATTCGATATCACAAAGTCCCTCACTAATATTAGACTCATAAGTAGACATTATATTTGTTGTGTGTTGAGGGGAACAGTCTGGCAGCACATTAGTGGATCCAGTGCTTTGGCTCTCAGTTGGATGCACTACTCAGTTGATAATAAGTATCTCCAGACGACAGAGCACCACATATGCTTGTTTATCTCTTTAGTGTCTGGACTTTGGAAGCTGGAGAAAGTTTCAAGAAACTTTTGGTTAATATATCATTTGAGACGCTGCGACTTCATATGAGTCAGTCGATGCTGTCAACATTAAAAATAACTTGAGATTTAATTTAAAGCAGCCTATAATTAAATCTGAACATTGCAGTGATTCATATTTTCAAATGTCAAACTACACAGCAGACAAGTCATGAAACTATTCAAATATTAAAGCAAATTGACCGGAAGCTGTAAGGAAATTACTCTTACTAGGAATTGTAAACCTCAGGTGCGATACTTGAACCACGTATTTCCTTTCTGAGTTATGATTATATGAAGTAAATGACTGTGATTTGCTATTGTCCGGAGTTTGCATTGTTAGCCACGTCCAGTCATTTCCAAAGTGGATTGAAGGATGACATTGGGTGATTCAAACACAAATAATTTCTTGTAATCCAATTTGTATTTCACTTCTAGGAAATCTCATCAAAATCCATCCAATTTTCCATCCGTAAGAATCACCTAAGGACACAGTATCAGCTATGTTTCATTTTTCTAGGAAACCAACTCTGCAAAACACTACTTTAATAATGGTTGTACCCCATCATTACTTTACTGTTTTTATTCATTCAAGAAATCCCACAGTGCCTTTTTGAGGCTTGAGTAAGATTTTTTTTTTATTATTTGTATCTAATATAGTAGCATGTGTGTTTGTGTAGTTCTAGAGTTCTAAAGATTTTATTTTATTTTTTTTAGTAAAAATAACCACACATATATCGAAAATATCAGTCCCTAAGTTTTTTTTTTTTTTTCTCAAAACACTGATATTAATATTGGCCTAAAATTTCACATTTGTGCACCCTTAGAAATACAGAAGTAATAATAACTAAAACTATTGAAATCTGATACTTATTTAAACAAATGCTGATACTAAAAAAGTCACATTCATAGGACAAAAGTGGATCTTTCCTGAATAGCTCTGGAATGATCTTGAGCTGTATCAGAACAAGTATAAGAGCACATAGACGAGGATACGCCCACGGACCAACAACTGAGGAATTACACACATATAAGACCACATGTAAATAAAAAAGGAATAACTATGATTTAATGTTGAAAATGGCATTCTGTTGTCTAAATAAAGAGTGTTATTGGATTCAGTATTGAGTATTAAAATCCTTAGTATCAAATTTAGAGTTTGAAATTGTAGTATGTGATATAAGATAAACACAACTGTATAGCTTATCCAAATTTACCCATATGATCACATTAGGGACGGGCATGATTAATTGACTAATTGATAATTGATGATTAAGAATTTCGTCAATTTTGTTCATTTTTAATCAACAAACCAAATGTAGGTTGCTGTGCGTAGCGTAGTGCAAGGAGACGAGGCTGCGTCAGACAGTGCAAATACTGGAGTTGCGGCCTCACAGTCCCACTTTTCAGCTCTGGCTCCTCCTTGGAGATCACTATACCACTCAGTGAGTGCATTTACATGCACATCAGTATTCCGGTTTCGTCATGGTGCATGTATACGCAGTATCTTGTTTACTACAACATCAAGAGCTGTGCTAAACCTTCTCACATATGGTCTCTGAAAACATGAACCATCTCCAATGTGATATACACACTGAACACACTCACTGTCAGCATCAGCAGCACATCCTCTGTCACAGAAAGAACACACATATTCTACTGAGTCGTGTCCTTTAGTCAGACAGAAGCTGACTGCATCACCACACCAGGAAAGAGCTGTTTTGTTTTTTTTTCTTATAGTTTATGCAGTTTTAAGTTTTGTTTCTGTAAAACTTTAACAAATGTGTCAAAGCTGCATTAAACACTTTATAATTTCAAACATTGGGCTGATGTGGCTCTATGGTGGTTATGGTTTATATGTTGTAAAGTTGAGGTTATTTATGCAGATTAGTAATAGTAATAATAATGATGATACTTTTAATAAAAATGGATCGTTAATTCTCCCGACGATTGATTAAGAAAATTGTAATTTAACGTCCAACTTTTGCAAAACATATAAATGCTTTTTTTTTTTTTTTTTTTCAGATTTGCACCAACCTATATGTGAAAACCCTGACAACACTATGTATTCATATTCACACATGTAAACAAACTGTAACAAACCTGCACTATACGTAAAAACCTCCCTGTAGATATGGGACGTGCCGCAGCTCGCCACTACAGCACCTGACCCACCGTCTCTGAGTACGAGCTTAGCATGGCTGTTGCCTTTAAATGCCCCTCGAGGGAGCGGCACAAAAGTTCTAATCATTTCTTTTTTCGGTCTGGGCGCTTTGATTCGCTCGGTGCGGTGCCTGGATGATAAATGGCTGTGCTTTGGTGGGACTAGCCTGGAGACTGGATGGGTCATTCCTGAGGCTGCCCCCCCCCCTCCTTTTCCTCCTCTTCCCCCATGTTGCGTAGGCGGACAGAGTAGCCTAATAGGTGTATGTCAGGGAGGTCAAAGAGAGAGAAGGAGACGAAACATCTGCGGACCCGGGTTCATTAATATTACGCACACATAAACGGCCTGTGGATTGGAGCATTTTAAAAGGGCCCAAATTACACTGTTTTCTGATCTGTGTTATAACATTTCTTCACTGCAAACATACCTGGAGTTGTGTTTTGTTGCACTTCACACCTCGTTGTAAGAGCATGTGGTATTACAGGAAGTGCTCCACTGTGTTTTTTCAACTCCATACACCTTCACTAGAATCATTTGGATGATTACAACCCTAGAATGTCCCATGTCTTCTAACCTAAAGGTAAAAGGCAGCTGTTATCTTGAAAACTACAGCTTCATGACATCACAAAGTGGAACAGAGCATTTTGCACTTTGGAGATGTAAACTTCAGGTATTTTTTCGAGGAGGTAACCACATTATAACATGACTTAAAGCTCACAAGAGTTAATTTTGCGTAATATAGGATCTTTATCATCTGAGGTTCTTGGTTAGGGATACTTCTCAAAGAGACAGTCCAGAATGTTGGACATAGGACCTCATTTCCTGGTGAGCCAGAGTGTGGGGGATGTGTGGAGACGCTTTTTAAAATATTCCATCCAGTCTTTGTATTTACAGAG